TTCCATTGTTCTAATATATATCTCTCCTGCCTCTCTCCTATCTCTCTCCTATATATACGTGTGCTATGTATGAAGTTGTTACACTCTGGATATGTGAAGAAGTGAATAAACATCATTGCCGAGAGTGGCGGTAAGCTACTCCACCTCTAGCCAGCTTGTCATTACGTATCAACCCAGTCAGGGCTCTATTGATCGTTACAGACTATATTTTCATTCTTATAGATCTAACATATAGATCTTTATTGTCAAACATATCTCTCTCTATATATATTATGTTCAGTATGTATCTGTGGGTGTCTGTGATAGGTCAATGCTCGGAACTATCAGGTCGAAAGCTACAAGAGAGTAAAACTATAGGATGTCGATGAGAAAAGTGTGGGAGTGAGAGACGAGGGAGGTATAGATAAGAAGGATGTGATCGTATGGAGTGGGCTGATATGGGTCTCCTATGAAGGTAACGTAGGTGTGAGTGGCCATTGTTCGGTGTTTGAATGGGTGAACTTCTCTTTATATTGGAGATTAATGAAGTTATAGTTAGGGCACGACTAAATGATATAGCCTTATTTGAAAGCACCAACTGTCCACGAAAATAACTTCTGTGAAAATAGTGTAGTTAGCTTGTCTAACTAAGTCTTTGACAATATCTTTGCCTTGGGAAAGAGCTTGCTTTCGATAATGAAAATAAAAGATCGTGCAGTACGGATTCTCACTAGTTTATTATATAAATTAATTAATTGATATAGATAGAGACATATTTAATCAGTGTATAATAAATAGGTGTTACTTTTATAATAAATATATTGGCGGATAATTAAATTCATTTAGTTTAACTTTTTAATGATAATGATCAACGTTGAAATATGTTCATTTGTTTTAATAAACGACATATTTACTTATTAATAATAATAATTATTTCATATATAGGATATATTATTTCTAGATATATAGATTTATACATATGATGACAAAATCAAATGTTCGTGAAAAAGATGAAAAAAGATGGAATAATTCTAATCTATTTCCTTACTCAAGAGATGTTGAAGATGAACAAATAATTGAATTCGAAGGAAAAATTCCTCAATGGTTAAAAGGTACTCTTTATCGTAATGGTCGAGGAGCTTATGAAATAAATAATGATTTAAAAACATCTGTTAATCATACATTTGATGGTTTTGCTTTTATTCAAAAATACTCAATTGCTGAACAATCATAATTAGTTCGTTTTCATGGATCATTTATTAAGTCACATGCAAATACTCAATCTTTATTAAATAATCGTTTAATTGTACGACAGTTTGGTATAGATCAATACAAATCAATATTTGGCAAATTTTAATCACTTTTTCGTCCTCAGGATCCAACCACATCTACTGATGATACAGGTGTAACTGTTCAATTAGTACATAATCAATTATTAGCACTAACAGAAACAGTAACAGGCAATATTCTTGATCCAGAAACACTTGAATTACTAGGTTCACTTATAACATTACCTTATAGTCAATCAATCGATTCAGAAATTTTTACAATAACAACAGCTCATATTATGCATAATGATAAATCTCAAATGATAATTGGTTTTAATGGAAGAATAACACATAAAGGACATTGGCTTTATGTTATATTCATATCAGATCAATCATTTAATCAAGATAAAACAGGTTTTTTTTATTTATTTCATAAAGAAAAAAAAAATTCTGTTTAAAAGGTGTGGGTGCGAGTGTGGGGCGTGAGTATATTGGCGACAGAAAAAAAGATTCACACTCACAACGGCAAACCCGCACTCACACTCTTCTTTCTCATTTCATTATTGTTATTATGAATGAACTTGAAAAAGTTCTTAGGGAACCTTCATTAAGACCATATTTTTCTATAGTAGAATCAAGATTTTCATCATCATCATGGTTATCTGCAAAATATATTAATTTTAAGGAGATTTGTTTTCAGAATAGGTTTTTATTTTGTTTTTACTTTGAAGGTCTTGTTAAGGGGTATGGCTGTCGATGTGGATTTGAATGTAGGTTTGAGTATGACCTACTACCCATTTACACTCACAGCCTCACCCAGATCCTTTTTTGTGACTTTTGATTTTTCTAAATTTTATACTTCTAGGTTTTCCTCTAAATTTTTGAATTTCTAGATTTTTTGTTTTCTAGATTTCGCAACATACTCAGTTATACTTTATTGAAAACAAAATAATTTCTCGCGTGAATTATAGTATGAAAAAAATCTATTCAAGATAAATTGGATAACCAGCCGACAGAATCTTATCGTATCCACCGCCATGAAGTATTGGAAGAAGGATTACTTCTCCAACTTTGACACGAGTGATCACAAGCTCTTGTCTTTTATCATAATTAGCCGAATTGAATACAAGTCGTTCTGGGATCCAGATTGCACAATCCATGCAACTAAAATCATTTGATGGTTGCCATTCAATGATCACTGTGTCATTGTCATGAATTCGATGAGGTGGAGTACTGAGCCAAACTTCAACTGTTGCACTTTTTTTCAGTCCTATTTTTGATAATTGCGGATTGTATCGGACTCCTAATGTAACATCTTGGCAATCGTACGCCCAACTTTTTGGAATTGTATTGAATAGTCGATCATCTGGTTTACCGATCGATATAACTTTATAAACTGTTGTTTCTCTTTCAGAACTGCAACTAATATCCAGTACTTGAGTTCGTCGAATTGGTATATCTGTATTTTTTTGAAAATAAATTTCATCACATGGATACTTTTCATGACAGATCTGACAAAGTGTACTTGAATACCAATAATCTTCGGTTTCGGTATGATTGGTTGCATGCATCATTTCATAGTTAAACTTGAGATAATTTTCGATTTTGTATGAACTACTATTATGATACCAATGCAAAGGAAATGAATTGAAAAAATTGCCACCATACTTCCAATATGCTTCATAAAGGCAACTGCTTATAGCATTATCTACTCTCAATTGAACATAATATTTCGATTGCGGTGAATCAGGAATTGCATATGGAAAATCCTTCATCACAAAAGCATATTGTTGAACACCCGATTGATATGCTCGTTGATTAATTTCATCAATTGCCATGATGCCTGGATTATTATCAGTGGAAAATGTGATTTGTGGAGGAAAATAGGGCTGAACACATTGCACTTCATATATGCTCAGAAGAAAGGAGATCAACCATAGCAATACTATCATAATAAATTTTGATATCTGAAGCAAAAATATTTACTTAAAAATCGACCCAGTGAAATGTCTAACCCATTGAGAATGTAGAGATCATCAGGACGACCCTGATGGTGTCTACAGACGAAAATCATTTCAAATACTAGTAATTTATGTTTCATTTCCAAGCGTCACTAACTGTCGATCCAGATTTCGAGCTGTCGGATGTCATCCATATGTTCAAAAGTCATTAGACATAGACTCAAATTCGAGTCAGACATCGCTGTTGTAGGATTATCGAAGAACTACAGCTGCAAGTAAACCCGTTCTAGACCAGTTATTTACTTTGTTGTTAATGACGAGGATATTTTAACGTATCTGTAAGTATTGTCGCAGTGCAAAAACAATATGAGAGAAGCATAGGTGTGTGTGTACAGAGCAAGCAAAAGAAAAAACTAAACACATAGGCTACTCTTATTACTATCTTCACTAGTCTGCCTTCGGCATCCACGTGTATTACTGATGCGACGAGATTATTCTTATTTATTCCGTTCTGGCTTCGTATCGATTTGCCATTTCTAGTGTTTCTCATTATGCTCATTCGTTTTCAGCGGGCCTGTATTTGAAAAAAAATCTTTTTAAATTAAAAAATCTCACATACAGTATTTCGACAAAATCAGACGAAATATGACAATATTGAATGTTCACTCTTCTTTTTTTCGGCTTTGATACTTCGCTTTTTGTGAAGACATTTGAAACGTTCTGGTTGATAAACACCAAACTATTCAGACATCCAATTGTTTGTTCGATGCATTGTTAAGCTCATATTGTTCAAATAGGTGTCGAATAGTGCTGCCCAATAAAAAGTAGTTGACAATACGTCCAGATCGATTAAACATTGGGCAGACAACTGCACGCGTTTCTCTGTAATCTCTTCGTATATTTTCTCTTTTTAGAAGTAGGTAAATTAAGTCGTTTACTTCGATGTTCATCCAATAAACTACTCATCCTCTGAAATCAACAAGGGTGTGGGTGTGGATATACTCTTCATCCACGCCATCCGAAGTTGAAGTCATTCTAAACTTAAATTTTAGCTACACCACTACATGTGACAGCACTTGTTTCAATGCTATTTATTATGTAATCAATCTCTTTGACATAGCATAAGTCATATAAATAAATGTTACTTTTTTGTTTTCTGCATGAACAAAATAAGTTCTTCATTCGTCGTAGAGTAGTGAAAACGGCATCGCTGGTTGAAACCTAAAGATAGAAAAAAGCACACGATGCATCCTTCTATCTCATGAGAAATTACTATCGCATTAAAACAGCGTTTTCAAAAAGATTATCAATTCACGATAGTACGAAAGACGAGTTTGAAGATATGTTTTCTTCATCTTGATTTTAATCGAAGAACTTACCAATTCTCTTTACAGTAAATCGAATTGTGTGTTTCCATAATATGAATTCCGTAGATTTGCCTTGAAACTGGTGATTTATCTATAAGTAAAGATGGGTTACAAAGAATCGACGCAATTCAGTGTTTCATACTCTGTTCACTCTTGTGCACAACAGGAGGATGAATGAGAATGGCATCACTTGAAAATCATAATTTTGTGAGTTAAATAAAAAATATAACAATATTTGACTATTCTACCAGCTTTGACTTCTACAGGAACAAAGGCACTATTGTCATATTGTTCTTCTTCTTCTGTGAAAATAAGCACTTTACCTTCGTTAAATTCTTGTTGATTGGGATTTCGAATGAAACGTCGTTGACTAGATTTTTGAATATTGTCTATTGTGTCGCGAACATATGCACACACAAAAAAAAGACTCACTCAAATTTGAACCTGGTATAAACCAAAGACAGCCATTGTTGATAGTAGCATCTTCTAGAGCAATCCAGATGCCCACTACTTTGAATGGTTCATTGTACATGTATGTTGCATCTCGATGAAATCCCACTATCCAATAGAAAGAAAAGATAATTTAACTATCCTGTGAACAGACCAGATTTACCTTTCGCTCCAATAAATGGCTGTTTAACGATGTACATTGTTTGACGAATGGCAGGTTTGATAAATTTGAGATCGTGTACAATGGCCTAAGGAATAGATGGAAGAAGTGAAAAAATGGGTTGTCTATAGTCTTTACTTTGACTTTATCGGAAAATGTCAGTGTCTTGAATTCAGGGTCGAAGTTATAAAGAGCAAGACCAACTCTACTCACGCTAAGATGTTTGTCGCGATTGAGTTTACCTATTTATTTTTGTTTGAAATTGATGGAAAACTACAGAGTGAAAAGAGAGAATGATCTTTTTTCTTTACATAATACCTGTGTGAGGATCAATAGTATCTTCTTCAATACTAAATGAAAGCTTATCGCTAATAGTGACCATTCGTTGTGCCTTAGCTTGTTCTTTGTCCTTATCACTTAGAAATATCCACGAATATACTTGTTCTGGTTCCCAATTATCAATCAATCGATCGACGGCTATTTTCAACTTTTGGCATTCATCAAATGTCAGCAGTGGTTCACGGCCAGAAAACCATAATGTTCGTACTATAAAGAATATTTCAGAACAAGAGTCGACAACAACACTCAACATACACGGTCAATTTGTTCTTGTTTTAACATTTTGATAGACAACATTGCTTGAATATGTGTTCGTCTTACCTCACAATCTTTTATTTATATAAGATTGAAAAGAAAAATGAGATAAGAAGAAAATGAAACGAAATGGCGTACAATATTGACGACGCAAATAGATGTGTTTTCAAATTAGTGACAACAGCAGAATACATAAGTTCCGAACACCACTCAAATAGTCTTATCCCGTGTAGTTGGGTGTAGGTGGGGGGGTGCAAAAGATTCAAGAGAAGAACTACGCCCAAATCCCCCCCCCCCCCCGTTCCCCACGCCACACACTCCACAGTCACAACCACACTCAAGACCCATATCCACGCAAACATAGTAATAGCTCTGACTCAATGATAAACATTGTCTTTCTTTCAATGATACCATTATATCTAAATACAAAAGCTTTCTCAAGAAAGCATGCCAACAAAAAAGTCACATCTTTGCGCGGATATAAAATCATATCCCTCAAGCAATTCGTTTCGTGTCACGCCAGTTTTTCTTCTTTATGTGCCGAATTCTGAAAATGTGTGCTTGATGAATTAATGTCATGACAATGTCGCTAATTTACATTTTCAGTAATTTGAAAGCATAATAATATTCAGACTTCTGCATATATAGAGAATGAGAGAGCGTGGGTGTGGGTGTGGTATAAGGCTCTGAATGAATTCTCTCTTGATCCACTCATAGTCACACCCACACCCAAACCCAAACCCACATCCACCCACATCCACCCGCACCCATACCCACACCCACACACCTACACCCATACCCACACCCACACACACCCATCCACACCCACACCCACCCCTCGTATCTCCATAGTCAAATCTTAGGATCCAGGCAGGGTTCTGATTCAGATCTCTGCTATTCGACTACACCCGGCCGCCATTTTTTCTGCATAGATAGTCCCTATTGTAGGCTACAAAAACATAAGAACATCGGGCTTTCAAATGCTTGCAGAGTACCTGCAATTATTACTGTATTATCCTAGTTATAATATCAAGTGTATATAATGCGTATTCGAAGTACTAATACTCGAGAAGTAGGGTTTTCTTCCACGAAAGTTCAATTCTGGTGTTTCTATGAGAGAACAGGTTTTGTGTCGATCTATGAAAGATTGTAATGTTCGAGGTTCTTAAAGTCTGTATTATCAGCTCGAAGGTAACTTATGTAGTTATCGTATTACAGATGGAAAAAATTGGTGTATATAAATGGTGATTGATCTTATATAATGTAAGTGAATCATCGTAGTGCATAAAATTCAATAAACGTTGTCGAATGAAAATCGCGTGTTGCCTCTACATCATTTGAACGGTGATTGGTGCTTCTGATACCTTAGATTGGTGACGGAGGACAGATGAATGAATAAAAGAAAATATTGATACATAGTTTGGTTTAGTCATTGACATATATAGTCTGTGCTCCATTTCTTATTAAAATAGCTATTTTCCCGTTGTTTATCAAATCGATTGTGTTATCTGTAAAGTATGATTGGTGAAAGAGATTGTATTTGTTGTGGAAAACGACTTAGTAAAAATGATAAACGTCCTGTGATTAACAATCGGCTCTGAATTTTCATTAGTGCTCGTCTATTTCCTTCACCAATACCCTTTGGCTGCTTTATCTGTGCAAAATGTCGTTGGATGTTTAAAAATTGGTCAACAGAGCCTCATGTAAAAGAAATATTATTAAAAATTGATGAGCCAAGTAAATATATCAATATGACACATGAAGAATGTGATGAATCAAAGAATGAAAATGTTTCTCATGATCAATATGTAAGATGGTTAGATACGCATAAATTTTGAAAACTTTTCTTTTTTTCTTCTTAGGATAATGAAATGATGGATGGTAAAGAATCTGATGAAGGTAGTTCAAATGAAAAAGATGTAAGTTACTGAATATTTTTTGTATTGAAACATTGAAAACTTTCTTTTTTTTCTTAGAATAATGAGATGGTGGATGATAAAGAATTTGATGAAAGTAGTTTAAATGAAAAAGATGCAAGTTACTGAATATTTTTCTATTCAAATATTCAAAACTATCTTTTTTTCTTCTTAGGATAACGAAATGATGGATGAGAATGAATCTGATGAAAGTAGTTCAAATGATTCCTATGTGAGTTCGACTGATACACATATAAGATGATAGTATATATATATATATATATAGATATATATATGTGTTCGAGTTTTGTTTTAGGATAATGAAATGGAGAATGATATCGCGTGTAATGGAAATGATTCAATTAATTCAAATGTAGTTTCTAATGATGCACGTGTAAGATAATTATATATATATTTGTTTTCTTGTAATTTTTTCACGCATCATAGAATAATTTATTGGTTCGTAATGAATCAATTAGTGCTGTTCATGGTAGTTTGAAACTACCTATTGGCATAGCTATTGCATCAAAAAGGTAAAAATTAATTTTACTGTTGATTTTAGAAAATTCTTGATTTTAGTCAGTGTTGTGTGTGCCGTATTCCATTGGTTTCACCTACAATCACTATTAAGAAGGAAGATCGAAATAATATCTTAATTCGTCGTAATGTTGATATTCCAAAAGGGTCACGTTGTTGCAAAGATCATACGTCCAATGGATATTTATCGCGTGAAGCCTTCTTTAAATTAACTGCTTACAAAATTAATTATCGAATATTTGATAGTAATTATATTATTGACACCATGGAAAAACTTCGAACAATGGTCCATTATCAAAAACACATAGATTTTGATGATCCTTCCTCGTTATCAGACGCGGATTATAAAATCCTCACCGGTTTCACACGAAAGCAACATAATCGTGTTCTTGAATGCATTCCGTCAACTGCTTTAAAGAATTCGGTCAATCTATCTCCTCGTTGTGCACTTGCATGCTTATTAATGAAATTAAGACTTGGAATAAGCAATGCAGCACTTGCTTCTATGCTGGGCATCGATAACTAACGCAAAGTGAGCGATATTATACATAGTACTCCTCTTGCTCTGGTGAAATATTTCCTTCCATCATATCTCGGTCTTGCACATATTACTCGGCAAGAAATTATTGACAAGCACACGTCGTCTATTGCTACCCGCCTATTAACTGAAAATCGGAATCCTTGCATTTTGGTCCTCGATGGAACTTATCTATATATTCAGGTGAGTTCGATTTTCTGTAAATTTTTGTACCTTAAAAATTTCATTTTGACTAGTAGAAAAGTCGCAATAACGAAATGCAGCGCAAAACATTCAATCTACACAAGAATCGATCACTTGTCAAGCCGATGCTTGTTGTCACAACTACGGGCTACATAGTCTGTGTATTTGGTCCATTTTTTTCGGATAATAGCAACAACGACGCGTCAATTTTAAAGCGCATAATGATTAATAATTATGATGATATATTGAACTGGATTCAAGAAAATGATATTAGGATCCCCGATCGAGGTTTTCGTGATTCATTAGGTGTTTTAAAGTCTCTTGGTATTGATGTTGCTATGCCATCTTTCCTCGGCCGAAAACGAAAGCAATTTGATATTCAAGATGCCAACAATTCTCGCTTCGTGACAATGTTACGATGGGTGGTAGAGAGCGTCAATGCGCGCATCAAGCGCTTCAAATGGTTTGCTCAAGTTATACCCAATTCCTCGTTACCATATATCCAAGATTTTATCTGTACATTAGCAGCATTCCTCAATTGCTTTTATGTTCCGATGACAAGCCCATCTCCAGGTGATGATGATATTATTCGTCGTATGAACTTGCTGAGAGAAAAAAGCAACACTTTACTAATACATTTGAACGACAAACAATTAACCCTCAATTCAGTTTGGAATGTCACTAACATTCATCATTTACCTCAAACCTTTCCTAAATTATCACATAGTGATATTAGGACTTTACTCTAGGCATTTCATTGTGAACAATTTGACATCTACACTATTGTCATTTTAGGAATCTATCAATTGAAAAGAGCTCAGAGTTATGCAGAAGAACATGCTGGCACTATAGATTTGACAGATCCCAATGTCGAATTTCCAATTCAATACTGTACTGATACTCATGCACGTGATATTATCAGAATTCGATTCCAATCAGCATATAAAAGTGGGTGTGGGTGTGAGTGTGCGTGTGGGTGTGGGTGTCGGTGTGGGCGTAGATGTGGGTGTGAGTGTGGGTGTGTGTGGGTGAGAACACCGGCACCCACACCCATACCCACACCCACACCCACACTCACACCCACACCCACACCTACCCCCAAACTCACAAGGTTTGGTATTGGTACATATCTAGTTCAAACAAAGTGGCTTCAATGGCAAAAGCACTTCTTGAATTTTGACGAGCCTTCAAGGCTTCACTTCAGGACGCAGAATCTGTTGACGTTTCCAGTTAGCATCCAGAAAGATGTTCCTGTATTAAAAATATCTATGAGGGACTCGATTACTCACTGCAGGAACACTACAGTCAGTAAACAGTTGCTAAAATCCTATTCTGTATTCAATCAAACATACCTATCATTCATTGAAATACAGGATGTCTGAGAAGTAGCTCTCTATCTTAAATCCTTGATTACTCTCAAACAATAAAAGATATTGTAACAATTTTTTCACTGTTTTGCAGCATGTGTCATGAGGTTTTGTTGTAGATGAAACAAGCCGATTAATCGCTTGACTCTCTAAGATCCAGTCCGAATTTCGTTTTGAAAATATCTGAAAAAACTCATTATTTTGAGTAGTTTGTTATTCTTGTACTAGAACCCAGGGTGTTGGTGTGTCGGTTTACGTAAACATTTTTGCATTATCCAAATACACGTCAGAACTCCACATATACACCCATATGCGCATCCCATACCAGTGCGCACACCCACATCTGCACTCAGGTTCTAGTACAAGAATAATAAACTACTCAAAATAATGAGTTTTTTCAGATATTTTCAAAACGAAATCCGGACTGGATCTTAGAGAGTCAAACGATCAATCGGCTTGTTTCATCTACAACAAAACCTCATGACACGTGACGCAAGACAGTGAAAAAATCGTTACAATATTTTTTATTGTTTGAGAGTAATCAAGGATTTAAAATAGAGAGCTACTTTTCAGACACCCTGTAGATATTGACTGCCCCGGACATGGCGGTTGTGCAATGCAATCAGGATTAGAGTTAATACGAAACTGACAACAGAGTTAAATCGAGTAACAAAGGGCACATGAACTTTACAAGTATCTCATTGATATCTCACACCCACCGAATACAAGGAACTTCAGGCAAATTTTGCAATATGAATACATTGTTGTGGAAAAACAGCAAAAATGACGTCGAGTATAAGGTCGTGTTTTGGGCCACTGTAGCTTTGTCAATGAAAATGACCTGTTACGTTCAAATAAATGTAGCATTTTCGTCTGAACTAGTTCTGGACTCGAAAAATTTCGCTTTGAGTAGTCTTTAGCACCAAAATACAGCGTCCTACTTCATGGGTTCCAATCGGGTCATAATCAGGCTATGGTTTATTCTATCAGAAACGTACGAGGTTCTGGCTATCACTATTAGAAAGAGCTTGGAAATCTGTCTTTAGTTGCATGTGGGCGGTGTCAGTTTCATGCTTCCTTCTAGCGTCACAATGTCACACTTTGTTCACGGCGATGGCTAGTTAGGTCTGGCTCACAGTAATCTGAACATGAAACGTTATGAAAAATCCATTACGACAGGTTCAGTTATATATCAATCGATAGTCCTTGTGACTCGGTACAATTTGCCACTTTTATGCCAGATCAACATGATGACCCGAGTTCCGTAAACCCAATTTGTGCACATATATAGGAAAAAATGCATTCTGACTCATAATTCATGAAATTGTGGTATTTTTTCTATAGGCATATCTTGCATGTCATCGGCCAAAATCGAGATAATATGGTTTTGTTAGGTTTGACACGAAATATTGAATATTCTGTTGCTGGTGTACTCTGTGCACAGCAATTCGGGGGTAGTTGTGGTATATGTGTAAAAAAATGTCCATTCGATGCGATAACTGTTATTAATTTACCAAGTAATTTTGATAAAGAAACAACGCACCGTTATGGATAAAATTCATTTAAATTACATCGTTTGCCAACATCACGACCAGGACATGTTTTAGGTCTGGTCTTGTTGGTTCCAATGGCACAGGGAAAACAACAGCATTACAGGTTCTATCTGGAAAATTAAAGACTTATTTGGGCAAATATTCAGTAATAAAAACGAAAAGAAATAGTTTTAGTTTTAATGTTATACATTAATTTTTTATTTGATTTAGACACCACTGGATTGGCAAGATATATTAAAATATTTTCGTGGTAGCGAACTCCAAAGTTATTTTACAAAAATTCTTGAAGAAAATCTTAAACCTATATTTAAACGCCAGCATGTTGATCAAATTCCACGAACTATACAAGTAAAATGAATTTGACACATCAATCTTTTTTTAAAAGATTATTTTTTGTTTTGTTAGGGTCTTGTACGTGATTTATTAGATAAAACAGATGAGTTGGATAATCAAGATCAAATATATGAATCATTCGATTTATCAAATATTAAAGATCGACAAATATCTGATTTATCAGGTGAAGAATTACAAAGATTTGCATGTGCTATGGTTTGTATACAAAAAGGAGATATATTCGTGTTTGATGAATCATCAAGTTATCTTGATAGTAAACAACGTTTAAAAGCTCCTCTGACTATTCGAAATGTTATCCGAGAAAATCGGTAAGTTTGACTGTTTTTTTTTATTGGCAAAGGATCAACGAACTTCTTAGATACTTATTTATCGAAAAAGATGAATTATGTTTGCTTTATGATTGAAAGTACAATAGGAAAATTCATCATTGTTTCAGTCAAATATATAAGAAGTATTATATTAAGAATGATATCAGTATAACTGAGAATCTTGAGCTTTCTAAAATATTACTAATGCTGAAGCAAGAAAAATTAAAATGAGGGAAACTTCCGAAATAATTAACTTAATCACTCTTGAATTGAGACTATGTGCAGTATTGAGATCGTAATGAATTATTAATATTTTTCGAACTTTTAGCTTATTGTTGAAGAAATAATGTATTTTTATAGTAATTTGACATTTAATTCTACAGTCTACCTAAAGAAAAGAACGGAAATTCATTGTCTTATTTCAGTTCTAAAGTACGATTAAGATAAAATTTTGTCCTCTATATTTCTCATCGGTAGTTACTTGAGAAGGTCGCATAATCAGTTGCAAATTTCTTGTTTTGTTTTCATGAGTGATGTATTGTACCTGATTAGTAAAATTTTACTTGTACGCTTAATTTGTTTGCTAAGTTTATAATGATCAATATTGAATGACGAACGCACGACTACATTCAAATGTTGAAATATTTGCTGTTGAAATCTATTCACAATTAGAAACTCTCAAAGATCGATTTTTTCAAGTTCAATCTTATCGTAGTCTGTCCATGACAAATAAAAATATTGACGAATATAAATGGGCTCTTCATAATCGAGGAACATTAATTGAAATTAAAACATTAAGTTCAACATCTGTTAATCCTAAAGTTGCTTATAAATTTGCAAGTGGTCAAAAAACGAATAATACTTATCGTCATAGAGTAATCTGTGAATTTCATTTTGATCATCGATGCAGCACAGCTATTGATCTTCGACGTAATCCTGATAAATATTTACTCTGCTTATCTGCTTATGAAAATGAAGCTAAAATACTCGTTCTACCAGGTACACTATTCGAAGTACGTGATGTTCATCAAGCAAAAGATACTGGTCGATATACGATTATTTTACAAAATATACATGTACCACTAAATATCATAATGGAAGCATTCAAAGAAGTGCAAGTATGATACAAAAATTTAAAAATTTGAAGTTATTTTATTTTATTTAAAACCAGAAAGATTAATTATGCGATTAAAAGAAAAAGGGCATTTATTTACTTTGCAAGTATCCTAAACTAAGATTGGTTTTTTAGAGAAAAGATTCAATAATTATTATTCCCATAAAGATGCACAATACAGTTTTTCAAGTGATTTTAATATAATTCGAGCTGTTTGTCCCATAGAATCTACAGCAATTGACCATTGATAGAGCATTAATTTCACGTCATCACTATCATTAAGATCGACTGTTGCAATAGTTGATGTTGATGACTTCTTTTCAGATGCTTTTGTTGTTGTTCGTTTTGTAGTTGTAGTAATTTGTTCCTGATATAACAGAAAAGAAAAGAATTTCTTTAAAATACATAAAGAAGTCTCATTTACCGAAGACACTTGATTGACGTTATTAATAATAATTTCAATTAATTGATTAAATGTTTTTGGTTTAGATTCTTGTACACCTTGAATAATATTATTCAATGGTCTTAAAGCTTGTTGTGTTATCATATTATATAAATAATTATCAAATCGTTCTGATTTGCTTAAAACTCGTACAAACTTGTGAGTAACATTTTTTAATGTTGAAAATATTTGTTGAATTTTATGACTATTTATATCCGGATGAATATTTTTCAAAAGCCATTCAGGTAAAGTACCATTTGTCATAAGCTCATCATGAATTATATCCATACGAGTAATATTAATAATACTGGCAACAAAATGTTCTAAATCAAATTGACTTTCAGCAGCAAACCATAAACCACTACCTAATTTTTCATAATCAATTTCATGCAAAATTATACGAATAATTGCTTCATCGTCAATATTTTTTCGAATTTTATTCATTGTTTCATTGTTATTTAGTATTAAGATTGCAACATTAGTAAAATTAACATCTTATACTGCATTAGCAATCATTTGTTCAATTACACGACCTTTAGCACTACTACTACTACTACTAGCACTACCATTTTTTGGTATATTTTCATTGAATAAAAATCGCTTTTGTCGATGATGTTCAGTTGGAAATGATGAAGCACGATAATAACGCATAGCAAGTTGAGCTATTTCTGGTACAATAGTTGTTAGACTATCAGCCGTACGAAGAAGAGAACAAGAACTTGAACTTAATTGAGCAAAAACATCAACTTGAAATAAAATAGTGTAAGAGAAGAATATATATAGAAAATGCATCTTTCGAAAAATAACGATCAAACTTATGATACTATTTGCTGACAGAATGAATCCTATGTATTTATATATATACTATATATTTTTTCTACCAATTATTTCTGAAGTATTTACCAATTAGAAGCATATAGACTTTTGTATAAGTAATGGTATGTTAACAACATTTCAAAGTAAATAGATATGAATGTCAGTTCTCGTCCATCATACAACATACATAGATATTAAAATTTTCTTTTCGTTACAAGTAATTTATTCAATACACAAGGCTGTTCTTTTACAATGAATTTTCATTAAGGAAACAAATTTGCAGATTTTATTTGAAAAACTATTGTTTATAATAGTCCATAAATTTTTAAAAAATAATACAAAGCAATAGCCCCACCAATATGACCTGAAGAGCTAATATTTTTTTGACGATATGTTATAACTCAATAAAGATCATATGCAATAAATGCTCCAACGTCGACAATAATTGGCAGATATACAAAAAAAATAGAAGAACAGTATCAAATGGACGAAGACATGAATAAAGTACTGTCATGCCCATTGTAACACCTAAAATAAAAGCAAAAAATATACAAGAGCAAAATCATACGTTAGCAATGTGACTTCATAAAAACCAAAACACATGTTTCTCAAGATAATGGATTTTACTAGAGATAATTTTTGTATGTCAACTCTCTGATAAGTTATTCTAAAAATCAGCACTAGAGACCTTTGTTCAAAGAATTTATCAGTAAAAACTCATGGGGCTGTAAAATCTCTATCGAGAGTTTTTCCTGATCAGGCTTGAAGGTTTCAAATAAACTTGATTTACTTTTCGTTACCGATATGATCGAGTGCAGATAGACAAACGAAAAAATACTCTTATAACTGAATGAAAAATTCAAAACCAACTTAAGATGTTTTTTAGAATTCATATAGTTAGAGAGATATGGTGAAATTAAATTTATCCCTTTTTACATTTTAGTTAATTAGTTCTAATTAATAGTTAGCTGAAAGAGCCAACATTTTTACATATGTTCATGCTTAGAGAATTTAGTCAGGAAAATAATTTTTATAAACAATCAAAATCAAATGAAAGGTAAGTATGTATTACTTTGCCTGAAATGACGCATATATTGATAGAAAATATTTTCAACAAACAAAACAAAACTAACCGGAAGCTTCAACAGCTGGTAAACTAGATCTTCGATCATAAAATCGTTGATAAAATATATGACCAGGTGAACAGCCAACTGCACTAACAAGAAATACTTGAATAAACGCTGGTAAATCAATATGATTTAAAACAAGAGGACCTAGATAAATATAATCATGTTTAAAAAAACAAACAAGACAAAATAATGTTTTACCAAAACTATATAAAACGAAACTATTAATCAAAAAATGTGTTAAATAAAAGCGACTAAATGCTGAAGTAAGCAGAGTCCATACACGATTTTGTCAAACAACACCATCCCACGATACTACGGAACGGAAAGTTAAATATTTCAAGACGTAGATAGCTACCTGTTGAGGGAAAAAATGAAAGATCATAGGAATAATGGTTACTAGCGTCAGACAGACAAATTGAAGTAGAAGAAAGAATAGGTGACCCGAAAGCAAGAACCCCTGAGAAAACATCTCAGCTGAATTGGAAAATGATCTAGGTAGGTTGATTAATCTAGTGTCATTCAAGAAGTTTGGCTTCAGTTGGACTTATACGAAGGAAATATAACGCTTTTATAGTAAATAATATTGTTGTAGCGGAAGAATGAAGATTAAGAGAAATTATGCTCAGTTCTGTAAGAAAAGTTTTTCAAAGAAACGCATTTTTGCTGTTTCATTAGAGATATATGGTTTTTGTCATCGATTAGTCGAAGTGAATATGAGATGGTTATAATATCTAGTAGACTGTGAACGTAATGATGAAAATTAGATGATCTGTGATATGAGGTAAATTTTAGTCTCTATTGGGGAGGGGGCGATGTTTTCGGAAGCATTCCTTTTGTGAATGGTAATCATAGAAGAATCAGATACGAATGAAATGTGGACGCATACGCAGATATGTATGTGACGGTCGTTCTATACAAACAGAATGGAAAAAATTTCATTTTTGACGTGGAAGACACTTCTCCGCTGGAGATTAGCATTTTTCTCACCAATCGATTTGTTGTCCACTGTTGATCTTCACTGGGTAAAAGGTTTGATGCAAACTATGATAGTATAGAAACAAAGAGAGAAAACAACTTTTGCTTGCAAAGTAAATAACATTGAGCAAGAAAATAGAAGTCTTTTCTATGAAACTTATATCAACGACAAATCAAATCGTCCTGTGCCTCGTCACGCCGTTGCTGACGCCTACTCTACATTGATCTGAGCATCGGAGAGCATGTGCTTACAATATCCGGATGATACTGTAAAACCTATTGGCAGAGCAATACGAGACAAATGAATGTGAGGCACGTTGGCGTGAGCAGAGGCGCGGAGCAATTTTATCTATCTCTGCGGTATATAACTTAGTTCCCTCGACTGTAGGAAGGATCACGCGCACAAAAATGAGTTTGCTGTCTGTCTGTCTATTTGTGGGAGGTTAAAAAAATATCTCAGAGGTTACCTTATTTTTAGGCTTTTCGACGTTCTGACTTTTCTATAAGTTCTTGAGGGACCGGAATCCGGATGCGAAGTCGTTTTTTTGACCGAGCTTTCATTGGTCGAGAACCGGCTAATGAGAGACCCGCTGGGGTGTGAGTGTGGATGTGAGTACGGGTGTAGATGCGGGCCTGAATGCTTTGTTTTTTATCACATCCCACACCCACACCTGCACACGGGTAGATTCTATATGTCTGATGTTATACCTTGAGAAACTATAAGACCACTAGCTGAAATTGGATCGACTCAAATAGCTCATGGTTGATTTATGAGAAGCATCAAAATAACAATAGATTATCAACTCTGTTCTATTTGAAAGGCAAAAAAGAAAATGATTTACTGACGTAACATTTTGAAATTTCATTAATCGACAAATATGATTGAATTGAAATTGTGATATTGCGTAACAATCAAAATTGTATTGATCATATGTATTTGAAAGAGGATAGACTCTTCGACATATTTGACGAATAGAGAGAGAATAGCATATTTCACACATTATTTTATATAGATAATACACTATTTGAGAGAACTTATAGATCTTCGCATCCCTACTACATCCGACTAGATCTGTTTTTGTCTATGATTGTTTGATCCAGTTTCATAATATATATTCCAGAATAAAATGTACCGTCATTTTATGAAGAAAAAAGAGACATGAGTTTCTACTACAGAAGCATCGATCAAAATGACATAGCTGTTATTCAATCTTTTGCTGATGAAACATCAAGACAGAAATAGCGTATTTCTGTATTCCTTAGTACTTCTCCGTAATCCTTGTACTTCTCAAGTTAGGAATACGCTTTTTCTCCCTTATGAAACATGCATCTTTAATCGGCACGTTGATCAAATCCCGCTGTTTCTTCTCAAATTACAATGGCATGTTTTGTCAAGATATTGGTTCGCCCATAATATTTTTTGAGATTGGGCACGAACTACCGGATAAAATACAGTCGAGCAAATTCAAAAAAGAATACTCTTCATTGTATCATCAATGTCAAAATATGATGACTGTCTCATCTCTGTGCTGCGCAAACGAAAGCCCTTGTCTATTTTCTTACTGTTCTCTTTCGATTCAATAGGACTATTAAGATTCGATTGTTACCATTTGTTTTTTATACATTTACCACAGTCACTTTCTTTTGCACTGATGGTTCGCTTTGCTTTCAAGTGTAGGAATGTACAGACGATGAATAATACACTACTAGCATGTATTTATTGTGTCGAAAAAATCGATTCGCTTTTCCATTTCATCTAAGTTTGCAACTGTGTCAAGCACTGTATTGTAAATCGAATGAGTGCAAAGTCAGAACAGCCATTCAGTGATTTAATTGCAACTGGTAATCCGTCGGCTTCGACAACAATATCAAAAAGTACCAATAAACAAATCTCGAGTGCGGGAATGAACGATGTGAACATATTCTTCAAGTGTTATGACATATGCTGCAATCTGGTACGATGTTTTATTCGATGATTTCGATGGACATATCGCATTAATTCCTTTCTATAGATTGTTCATTAATTTCATATTTTAGCCTTTTTATTTAATTTTTGTACTAGTATATTATTTTTCGAATAGAGAACCTATATACTTCGCACTGAATAATTACGTTCTACAAATGATTGTATCCTTAATAATCTTTTATTAAATAAGATGATAATAGAGAAAACAGAAATTGTTCTAGATGATTTAACCTATGTTCATTATACGATTGGATTCAGACATACGCTAGTTTTCTAATTTAGGGTTGAAGACATATAAGAATGGTCGATTTAATTTTGATACGATCATGGGAATTGATTATATGATGTGATGGATTGCTCGTCATATGGCTAATATCCTCGTGTGTCAGGCACCCAGCTGTGTATTATCATCGTTCATCTGCCTCTTCTCATCACTCTTTCTCTCTTACATCGCACCGCTTATCTGTTCTCTTTTTCTTTCTCCTCCCTTTGAATATCTGCCTATACTCATGCTTGTATGTTGTTGCATCAGTCAATAGATTCACGAGCCCCATGCCCGTCACATATGAGTCTTGATTTTAGACTTATTCTTTATTTAAAAGGTTTTCCGTTTGAACCAAACGATGAACAGACAGAATATTGTGTCTAATCCGATTTCAGTTGGTTGCATTCGCCAATAAACAACTTTTATATTTCAAATATCATGTTATGATTCCTACCTAGAAATTCATTTTCGAATGAGATGAATTAAAGAAATCAGCCATTTCTAGTCTTACTTCGCTTGATTTAACGGGAAAATTCAGTCTCAAAGCAATCGCTAGCATTTTTTCCTTTACGCAATGAAATCATCGAATGAGTGATTTCCTATGACTTCATGGACCCTTGTTCAAAAGTCTGGTCGACTTTAGGTGAAAAATCTCTTGTTGAAATGAAGTACATTGTAAAAGCGACGAATTACTTGTCGACCGGACCAAATGAAGTTTTTTCAGAATCTGAAGTATTTCCGAGATAAAATTGAGTTTGAACAATCGAATAACGGATGTTTAAAAGGACCGAAGATGCAACAGCCGAGTGTCAAGCATGGCATCTGCCATGAAACTCGATTTGAAGCACGTAACGAAATATAACACAAACAAGTACTTTCGGTTGTGGCATCAAAGATTCCAAACGAAAAGAGCTAAAAATTCTTCAATTTTTTTCTTGAATAAATTATTGATTTTATTCAAATAAAAATCGATATATCAATGAAAAGAATTCTAGTTTAATTGAAAGTCGAATAAAACAGCTTTTCATGACATTCTATTGAATGTCGACTTTAAATGTAGATGCGTACAAAAGCCTCTATTTCTTGTCGACAAATTGAACATGTTCGAAGTGTATGACCACAGGGAACACAAGTTGCCAAATATCCGCATGGAATACATGCAAGACGTTTATCTTTTGTTGAACAAAGTATACACAAATTCGAAGACGCTAAATCCGTTTTCGAACTAGTTTTTGTTTCTGTTTTTGATTGATGATCGATCGTTGCAATTGTTGATGTTGTTTCAGTTATCTTATTAGTATTCGATGAATTTGATGAAAATGGTTCGTTCGATATTGGCGTGGACGATAATGACTCTATTTATTTACAAACAAGTACTAATATGATCATACATATAACCGACAACATACTGAATTGTTGTCTCACGAATCATTTTCATCTTGATACTCGGTACAATAATATTTTCTTCACGACCATTGATATGATCGATTTGTTTTTGAAGAATAATACAAGCAATGAATAAATCACAATCAGTAGCAAAATCATTTTCTAAACAAAAGAAAAATAGAAGAATGTAAATTTAATTGAATTTAAGTTACGAACGTTTTAATCTTAGTTGATCCTCCCAACAACGTTTGATAACTGATAATTTGAAATTTCGATTTAGTAAACTTTGTGAAATAGGCAAATCGAGTGGAACAGCAACAAATTGTGACAATGTGTTCTCATCAGAAATCATTAGTTGAGAATTGTTTGTTCGATGACTGCTCAAAAAATCTTCATTTCTCTCTATTTGATTTGTTTCAGCAAATCCTACAAAATAAATCAATAAGTGTTTTTTTTAACTTGTATCATTTCTTCAATAGGAAAACCAACAAACCTTGACGAATTCGTTTTGATTCTTGAACTTTTCGATATAGTTCATCATCACATAATTGTTTAGCATAGGCACAAAGAGGAAACCAACATACATGTTCAATCAATGGATTATCTTGGGGACCCCAATTTTGAAGTGATCCATTACAATAAAAACAGGTAACAATTGTTTTTAAGCCAGTATAAAAATATCCTGCTCGAACAAGATCATCAACAGAAGGTAAGTCTTCTTGAGGCCAAGAATTAAATGATGATAGACGTTTCGAAATTTCAACATAGGCTCGATGAAATGCGGATGCTTGAGCTATTTTATTAAATCGCAATAGATTAGATGTTAATGTTCGATTATTCGAATTATCATTAAGAATTGATGCAGTTGATGTCTGACGAGTTTTTAAAATAAATAAAACATATGGACATAGAGATGAAAGAGTTTGATGTACTTCATCTGGATCATCAGTATATGGTGTCCATTGTTGACTAATTAAATTACAATACAAACAAATGACACGATCACCAACATTACATTAAAAAAATCCAGTCGAATTCATTTGTGTTCGAGATAGTACTTTCTGATGAGGCCAATGTGAAAATGTTCGACAACGAACTTCTTTCATTATCGCTACTTCTGTCAGGCAATGGTCGATCTTTTGATCGATTTTTTTATGTTTCGATAATTTTTCTTGATTATGTGATAATTCAAAGTTTTGGTTCTCTGTTATTGAACCATCTGAAGAAGAAAAGTTCATTTGATTCTTTGATACAATCGATTGAATGAATGAACAATTCGGACTTTGTTGAACATGAACAGTAAATGGGTTCATGTGTGCTGTCCATTCAGATACTTTTAGACCGCATGTGAGACAATGAGCAGTATCATCAATGCTGGTGTATGTGAAACCAGCCGCATTGACAAGAATGGATGAATGAACACCTTACTTCTTCAACTGTTTACAAACATCAACTACACGACGACAGATTTCATTTTTCCAAGCAGAGCTTCGTTTTTTCTCATCAATACATTTTGACAAATCAATATCTTTTCTTATTGATAACATTGATAGCACTATAAACAATGGTTTATTTTTGAAGTGTTGGAGTGATTTCAATGAACTGCTTCTTTCGCTTGTTTATATCAGAGGAAAATTATTTATCTTAATGTTGATTGTATACATATTAACCCACTTGGAGCTGATACTTGCATACAGATTGAGAAATTTCTCAATGACTAATTGCAAATAATAGTGGGAAAAATGGATATAAGAAAATAATTGGATATGTCGACTACTGCGTTATTCTAAATGCCATTACTGAATATATATTCCAATTTTCATATTTCTGCTCCATTTTTCATTACAGTGATATAAAAAAAACTAGTTGCTACAAGAAAGTACTCAAAATAACTAACTGACGATTATGAGAGACCTCTAGTCATACTTTAGTGCCATCTGCAGACTGTAAATCATCATTGGTCTATTAATATTGTCAGGAATTAAATTTTTTCACTATTTGACGACCAACAATAAACGGTTTAGAAAAGAAGATAAAAGATTTAAATTGACATCTCTAATTGTGCCTTTTTACTTCATTATCGGCTGCAATACGAAAAGTTAGATGATATACTTAGGGTGTACCAAAAGTTCTGATCACGGCGTTACTTAGCCATATAGTAAGCTTTAAAAATCTTTCTTTCTATATAAGCCTGATAGAGAAAAGAATGCTCTATTTTTCTATGCTA